GGGAGGGGTGAGGACAACTTCCGTTTCTGATAGCCTAGGCGATCGCAGCGGAAGTGGGAGCGGGTACCTGTCAAATTCGGGTACCTGCTCCCCAAAGGTGCCAATCCTTAATGGGGAGCAGGGGACAAAGGCAAGGTGGAGCTCTGCTTTCATTTCCAAATCTTGAAGATTTGTCATTAGACTATTTCTTTCCAGAAATGTGTATTTTTAGAGCCTAACTGCAAAATAAATATAGATATACAGTCAGGGAGACATTGTGCTAAAGCTGGATTCACATGGTCCAAATATTGGCCAGTTCAGCAGGAACCACGTATACAAATTCGGACTAAATGTACAGCTGTCCTTTCGACAGAAGACGGTCTAAGGACTGGCTTTTGTGGAAGGAACATGCTGAAAAACTAGCATCCAATCAGCACTCGCAGCCAATTGTTTATGTTCTTTTATTGTTATGTATTCACACAGTTAAATAATACCTTTTTTATTGCACAGGTGACTTACATGGGATCTATACAAGACGTTGGCTCTTTAGAAATCAATGTTAAAAAAACAAACGAAGGTGAGATAAATAAATATATGACCAACCCTCCAATAGTAGCTGATATTTAACTAGTTGCACTCCGCCCTATAGCACTTTTACTGCTACAGGGCAGACTCACTGTGCAAAATCACATATATGTACATGATCTGTTCTCAGGCAGGGCACGTGCGCCCATTGGCCCGGAGGTGCTGTGATTTGGTACAGCACCGATCCCTCACCAGATTCAATCTAATGATGTTTGGCCTGGACCTGCTGATCGGCTGTACCCAATCAGAGCTCAGTCTGTGCTTGTGTTTATATTACACAGGCACAGGAAATGATGCAATCTTCTCTCCCTAAAAAGAGAAAAATGGGGTCTTGGGGGGGGGGGGGGGTTGTGCTATCCTGGAATTTCAGAGCCTCTGAAACTGTGATAGGTAGTGAGGAAGTGAAATGAGGAATGTACGCACCATCAGGCTTTCATAGGGGTCATTGGATTTGGGGCTCCTGTATGCAGCTAGGCTCTAAAAAAGAGAAGTAGTAGAATAAATTTTGGGGTGTAATTCCAAATATACCGATGGAACGTGTGAGCAATTTGCCATTTAAATGTCAACTTCGGGTAAAAAAAAAATATATTTGTAATTTTCCAAAAACTTGTGTGTAAAAAAATCTTTCATGGACTCTACATGCCTCTCAGCAAATAGTTTAGGTTTTCTACTATCCAAAAAGGGGTCATTTGGGGGTGTTTTGTACTGCCTTGGTATTTTAGCACCTCAAGAAATGCGATAGGCAGTAAAAGCTGCGTACATTCCAGTACCTATTCCATAATTTATATAGACGCTATAACTTTTACACAATCCAATTAATATATACACTTATTGGCATTTTTGTTACCAAAGACATGTAGCAAAATACATTTTAGCCTAAATCTATGATGAAATTTCAGTTTATTGGATATTTTTCATAACAGAAATGAGAAAAGATTGGTGTTTTTTTCAAATGTTTCAGTCTTTTTTTGCTTATAGCGCAAACAATAAAAAACCCAGAGGTGATCCAATACCACCAAAAGAAAGCTCTGTTTGTGTGAAAAAGGACATCATCTTGTTTGGGTACAGCATCGCATGACCGTGCAGTTACCAGTTAAAATAGTGCAGCGCTGAATAGCAAAAAACAGCCTGGTCAGGAAGGGGATAAATCTTCCAAAGGTCAAGTGGTTAAACTCTATGTATTTTTTTTTTCTCCCATGCAGTGGGACTGTGCCTGTACTGTGTGGGTTAACTGCCTGTTTTTTCCAGGGGCGCACTGAAAGGTTAAACAAACCTGATCCCCCAAGTCCAAAACTCCCTTGCGTCCAACGGTGGATATGATAACGTCACAAACACTCCATTCACAATGCCGCTAGCATGCGGAGGGCAAGAGCAGCAGGGAACGGTCTTGCACTCGGAGGATCGGCAGATTAGGTAAGTATATCTCCGTTCTCTCATCCCCTAGACAAAAACAAGCAGTTAACCCATGCAGTGCGGGCACAGCCCCTTCTCCTTTAAAGTGTGTGCCCAGCCTAAGACTTTAGTTTTAGTTTTGGATAGGGTGGGGAAGGGTTAGAAACCCTGTTGGGTTTTTACTACTGCTATTTGGATCTCCATTAGAGAGATTTATCTTCACTTCCTGTCCTACTGACAATAGTTTCATCAGACAGGAAGTCAGGAAAAATCTGCAGAAATGAGTATTTGACAGGGGTTCTACCCTATTTCTGCTAAAAAAAAAACACGTTTATGTCTCTGTGTTTTTATTGGAGAGTTCCCCTTATTTTCTGTTTGGTTTAAATGTTGTCAGCTGGGCAGGAAGTGAGGATAAATCTATCTCGTAGGGCCCCCTGACTGGGGTTCTAACCCTTCTAAAACTCAGCAAGAAAAGTTTTGGCTGGGCATACACTTTAATGATAAAAATGTACTCCACAGTATTTTTAAAATGAATGTCCTTGGCTTTTCAGGCAATAGTTTTAGTTTAGGGAATAGGGCGTTATCATTTGTGTTATTAGTGTGAAGTAATTTTTTGATTTGACGTATTTGCTGTTACACATTTTTATAAAGGTCTTTTTCTTGTGGTTTCTTCAGCTAGTGGAATTTCAGACAGTGCAGTATGTATCCTTGCTAAAAAAACTGCCAAGCTAAGAAACTGAAAACTCAGGTTGCCTAGTTGTCAAACGTACTATTTGTCACGCAGGTAAATAGTTTCTAAGTCAGAAAATGTAGTATTGAAGCCAGATACAGACAGTAAACTACCATGTTGGCACCTATCAAAACTGTCACAGGCTACATGATAGTTTAGGGTCTGTGTCAATGAGTTTTGCACACTCAGCAAGTCTTTGAAAATATAAAAACCTGCTTGAAGCAGGTCAAATGCAAGTCAGAAGGAGGTCACCTACACATAAAGTGCACCTGCAATGAATTTTGAATGATCTCAGCAGTGTCTGAAATTGATGTCAAACTGATGCCATCGACATATGCCAGAGCCTGTTGAACCAGGCCCGAAGAAGAACAGACTGACTTTTTTCATTGAGGCTTTTTTGTAAATTGCTTGTATGCATCTGACCTTAACAACCTAAATGTGTTCTCTATCTCTCTCAGATCTACATGGCAAGGCTACTTTTAAGCTTCCTGTAAGTACAGGAAAATCTTCCACCCTTCGTGCCCTTGTCTACATTTTTTTACCCGATGGGGAGATATTGGCAGACTCAGCAAAATACAATGTGCAAAAATGTTTCAAGAATAAAGTAAGTTTTCTAAATATGGACATCAAAAGCGGCATGGTGGTGAACTTTATTAGGATTCTAGCTGGGGTATACTTAAAGCATGGGGGAGCAAATAATTTTCCCTTGGGACCACATGAGAAACTGGGACTGTTGTGGGGAGGGCGAACTTGATTCTGCTAGACACTGGTATTGGAAGGTCCACAAATATATAAATGTATAGAAAATAAACATATGTCACTAGGAAAAATAGTTACAACTGCTCATGAAACAGGTCTCGTTCAGATAGGCGGGCAGGAGATGGTATAGATGGGTGCAGTGCTCTGGTTTTAATGGCCCTGGCCGCCCACTTGAACTGTAAAAAAAAATAGCTGGATTTGGCTGTTCACATGCCGTGGCTGCAGCTTTTTTAACTTGGGCTGTGGAATTTACCAAAGGGGCACCACTTGTCAAACTTGCCCACTGAGTTCAATAGGGTCACGCTGCAATTGCATGAAATTGCAGCACAGCGGTGCACCACTATAGGGATAAATCAGGTGATGAGGGGCCACACATCCTCGTGGCCTGTCAAATGCCTTCCATAGAGCACTGTGACTGGAAGGAGAGAGGCTGAGATCAATATGGCAGGGGTTTTTGTAGATCCTGACCTGGGTTGAAGATACGCAGCTTCTGGGGTTTCCAGTATGCAGGCACCACCACAGGAAGAGATTGGAAAGGCAGAGTGGCGGGAGATCATCGGGATGTCTTCTAGGCAACACTCTCCCACCAGAACTGAACCTCCCCATTGTACCAATAAGCTCCTAAAGATATCTTTCTATTTCTTGTAGCTATTCACACAGACATCAGTCAGCAAGCCTCTCTGTACCTGTCAGCTTCCACATTGAGGAAGCTGTCAACTTCCTCAATGAGGGAGCTGACAGGCACAGAGTGACATGCTGACAGTGGAGGCATTGTGGGCCAGATGTGGCTCTGTGACCGCAATTTGCCCAGGTCTGATTTACCATGCTCAGATTATAGACATTGCACTACTTCAACACAGTATTATATAAAAACCAAAAACCTTTTTAGGGGGTTTATTACACCTATTGAAGCAGTGCAGGGGTATTATCTACAATGTAATTAAACTACAGTATTTGCCTATTTCTTTTCAAGCAGTTAAAGGATCTTAAAACAAGAATTTCTGACCCCTCCAGCAGCATGTAATGTACGATTATTGCTTCTCAAAGATCTTCAAAGATAACAAAAAAATGATTGAGTTTTTGGTGGTTTCTAACAGCTTAGAACTTCCCACTGTTTGTTTACATTAAAGAGCTCGCCAAGATCTGTTGGTAGTGAAAAAAGTTAAGATATTAGTTCCTGTGTTGTGAACATTTAAAATGAAATTTCTCTACAATACTAATAGCTGCATAGATGTATGAGTGCTTGTTTAAGGTGCCTTTACTGCTTGGTCAGTGTGCATGATCAGGGCGCAGATTCACTTCAAGGGAAAACTGTGGTTGGAACAAATTTTGTAAAATATGTTACATAAACTTACATAGTATCAACCTATGTGCATTTAAATCTATTTGTTAACTAAAACAATTTTGTGGTTATTTAGAAAAGGAAAAGAAATTAATATTTAGCCCAACCACTGCCCAATTTAGCAATTGTTCAACCTAGTTAATTAATGCACCTCATTACCAGGTCTCACTTGGGTTCTCTCCTGAAGAAGTCCTTCCAGGATCGGATGTGTCTGTCCAGGTTCAGGCTGCTCCTGACTCTCTTTGTGGTCTCAGGGTTGTGGATAAGAGTGTGGTGCTAATGAAACCAGACAAGGAGCTGACCGCTGACAAAGTGAGTAAAAGATTTTAGTAGAAAGAAGTTTCTAGAGTTGATATATGACATAAATCTAAATAAGTAAAAGAGTTACAATGTTTCTAAAAATTAAATATGAAACAGAAAATCTGAAAGCAAAGATATGTCAATAAAGTAAACATAACATTCCTCAGAAATATTTGTAAAGGCTAGTTTTGCATGTTCCTGGTTTGTCATGGGTATCAGGAGTGCAAACTACACTCTGGAGCAGGGGCAGACTGACAACTCATGGGGCACCCAGGCAATACGAGATAATTGGCCCCCCAAAGCACTTTGTCCCCATGTTGATGGGGACAAGGGCCTCTTCCCCGCAACCCTGGCCAGTGGTTGTGGGGGTCTGCAGGCAGGGGGCTTATCGGAATCTGGATGCCCCCTTTAGCAAGGGGGCCTCCAGATCCCGCCCCCCTGCCATGTGAACGAGTATGGGGTACATGGTTTCGCTATCCATTCACAAAAATAAAGTGTAGTGTGAAAAAGACAGGAGACAGTCTTTGACAATCCTTTATTAAAAGAAAAAAATAAAAGAATGTCCCCCGAAGTAGATCCAACGTCAATCACGATGTCACTGCTACCTCAGCCATCTGACTGCTCCACTGGCTTGACAGTTCTTAAATATGTAAGTAGCGGGGCCATCCAGTGACATCACACATGTGGCCCCACCTCCTTGTGACATCATTGACCCAGCATTGCCCTCCGCCCCAAGGCACCCCCCCATGTTGAGGGCATGTGGCCTGGTATGGTTCAGGAGGGGGGGTGATCGCTCACCCCCCCCCTTTTCCTGACCTGCCAGGCTGCATGCTCGGATAAGGGTCTGGTATGGTTTTTGGGGGGGACCCCCATGCCATTTTTAAAAAACATTTTGGCGTGGGGGTTCCCCTTAAAATCCATACCAGACCCAAAGGGCTTAGTATGGATGGAGGGGGGCACCACGCTGTTTTTTAAATTATTTTTTAATATGCCGCCAATTCTTTCTTTTACATTCAGCTGTCACCCGGGAACCCAGCTGACAGCTGAAACATTAACGCATGGTTTTCACTACTAAAATACTGCATGACTTGATAAAATAACTCATGTGGTATTTTAGTAGCGTTTTTTGGTGAATTCAAACTTTTTTTTCTTAAAATGCTATGCGGTATGCTACCACATACTCGGATGCAGTAAGATACCGCTTAGTGAATTGTGCCCAGTGAGCCTCTCCCCGGGCCCCCTACTGACCCTGGGCCCTCAGACAATGCCCGAATGGTCAGTCTACCCCTGTTCTGGAATTTTGGTGGTTCCAGGAATGAACCTGATGACATGAGCATAGTAGATATCCAGGGACATTTTGGGACAGATGTGTAGGGTCTAAGAGGAACCGAAGAGAATGGTGTGGAGATCAGGAATTTGCATAGAGAAACTGGGACTAGAGTTCAGGTGTAGACATGCTGAAACTTAAGTGCAGCTCCAGGGTCTGTGTGCACAAGCAGGGAGACTCTGTGTCACCAGCAGGTTGAGGGAAGTTCCTACTAAAGTGCAGTTTCTGATAAAGGCTTGCCTCACCAGCACCATCAGATCGGTTTGGCTACAGAACAACCCTCAGGAAGCAGTCTTCAAAATTGTCTTGTTGGTTATAGCTGGCAGGATCAAGCTGAAGTAACCAGAAACAGAATTGTTTTCAAACTCATGGTGTAGGTTAGCAGGGAAATAATATAGTAAGAAAACCAAGCAGACCCGTTTTTAAGAACACATCAAACAGATAAGACTACATATGATCAGAAAGGCAAAATTTAAAGCAGGAGGCAGGCAGCAGCTGAGAGGAAAAGTCAGTGTAGACTAATATATGATCAAACAATGGCTGTTGTGGTTGTTGAGGGTGGAACCCCTATCTAAAAACAGATCGAAGACTGGTGTCATAATGGTGAATACATCCTTGAGCCACATAAAAGTACATTTTGGAAAGAAGATGAAGAATGACAATAGCAAGAATAGCCCAGAGGCTTTAGAAAGAAGATGAAGAATGACAATAGCAAGAATAGCCCAGAGGCTTTAGAAAGAAGATGAAGAATGACAATAGCAAGAATAGCCCAGAGGCTTTAGAAAGAAGATGAAGAATGACAATAGCAAGAATAGCCCAGAGGCTTTAGAAAGAAGATGAAGAATGACAATAGCAAGAAAGAAGGCTTTAGAAAGAAAATGAAGAATGACAATAGCAAGAATAGCCCAGAGGCTAGGAGAATATACAAAAAGAAGCATCTGGCAGCATTCATTACATATTTTTCTGCTATTTTTAAAGTTGTTCTTTCCTGTGCACCTGGAGCTTTCTCATAACCAAGTCTCATGTCACAGCTAATTTGAAGATATTGGAAGAGGTTGGCTTAAGTATAAGGCAGTGTTCACATACAGCTTTTAACACATTATTTGTATTTTATTTTGTAAGGTTTATGATTTATTTCCATATTGGGATTCTGAACTTTATGACTATCGGATCCGGGACTATGACAATTCTTGTGGATTACCTGACTTTCGAACACCTCCCTTTATCCCAAGGCGAGGACCTATCTTTCGCCCCTGGTTCCGTGAGAGAGATCGTGATGTGAGCACCATATTTCAGGTACGCTGAAATTCACTAACTGGCTAGAAATATTATTAGAAGCTTATGACTGTCAGTAAAGCACAGGAAGTACGTGAGCAGAAGGAATTTCAGATCTTTTTCAAGATTAATGTGCAAACTAGAAAAAAATCATTCCTTTAAGAAACTATGAGGGGATTCCAATGTTTTTCAACTCTGTGTTATAGCTATATAAAACTAACAATATTAAAATATAACTTTTCATCAGAAAGTTTACAATGAGTATTTTCCTGTTATGGTATTCCTTTGTATTTTGAGCTGTAGATGTATCTGTACACTGCCATTCACAGTGTCCTGTGTTATTTGAAAAAAGAAGGCTGCAGCATTTTTTTGTATATTAAAGTGCGTGGCAGACCATAACACCCCTCATATCATGAAAATGTGTGCATTGCAGCTAACTGCATTGTAAATGGGTTCTTTACTATTTACTGCTAAGCAGAGAGGCAGCAGGACCTCCATTCTCAAGGGGTTAATTGCATTTATATATGATGTATAGATGAATATTGCTAAATGTTTTCTATTCAATGCTATTTGGGGGGCCACTGTGCTTAGGAAATTTGGGTTACTATCACTCATGTGGGGTAGTAACCCAATATTCACTGCAGTTCAAATTTAGTTGCTGTGAAGGGGCACTCTTAACAACCTAAAAACACACCCCTTACTCTCATCACCACACCGAAGCCCCCCACCCCCACTCTGCCAGAACAGCCTTCCCAGCTTTCATCTCACCAACAGAGCCCCCCAATCTTTCAGCACAGTCCCCCTAGCTCTCATCACCTCACCACAGCTCCCTCCAAATCTTCTAGAACACCCTCCCTAGCTTATCACCCCAGCATTGCTCCTCTACTCTGTGAACAGCCTCACTAGTTTTCATTACTACACCAGAGCCTCCTCATTTTGTCAGAACAGCTTCCCCCTACCCTCACTATTCCATAAGTTTCTCTGACCCCCACTCATAAAAGAGTCCCCCACTCTGACAACAAAGCCTCCCAGGTCTCAGAACCTTACCATTGCCTCCCCCTCCTCTCACTAATACCAGAATCCCCCTACACTCTCACCATTCTGGCAGCCCCCCCCCCACTCTCTGCTCTCACCACTGTCAGCACGGCACCCCAATTCATAGCACTCAACCAGAACCCTTCTCCTTCTCACCACTGCCAGCAACTTCCCCCTCCCCCCCCCCCCCAGTACACACAACTTGCCCATCCTGGAACAGGTACACTTTTGACCTGATGAAAAGGACATGTTACTGTATAGGCCCCAAAAAGCATTGGCGTATACGTGGACTTTGACTATTGGAAGGAATAAAATTAATTCATATCAATACAAGATGAGCTGTAATTTCTTCTGGCATTACATAATCCTTTTACTGTGCATGATTACACTTGGGATCACTGCTGGCTCTTGACCCTAATTAAAAATATACATTTAAATTTGATTTGTACAACACATTGATCATTTTAGTGTGTCCATTACCACCACATCTGCTTTTTTTAGACATAGTGGAGACATTGGGATTAATATTCTAAAGAAGTAGAGTTTGTTCACTTTAAATTGTCACATGTTCAGAAAAAGTGAATTTTCACCAATCTCATGTAAAAGTTGCTTTTCACAAATTACCAAATGATGTGCATTAAATAAAAAAAAAAGTTTGTGAATTTAAATTTTGCAGAGTGAATTTTTCCCTAAGTGAATGCGGTAAAGCTATGTTGACTTCAATCATCCAATCATTTTCTGGCAAAAATCCTCATTTAGTCTTAATTGTTCTTGCATATGAATGGGTATTCTTTAGCAAAGGTAATTTTTCCTTCGCTTCACCTATTCCCTAGGTTTAGAGAAAATGTTATTTGCAAAATGAACATACTCTATTACTTTAGCAAATCATCCACAACAAGAAAAAGCCAACAGCAATGTGGTTTTAATTACAGGGTTTGCGATTGAAAATCTTAACAAGTGCAGAGATTAAGAGGCCAGTGAAATGTGTGGACCTTCCTGTCGTTGATGGAGTAAGTGAAAGATCACGATTCCCTATTCTTTTCGGTAAGTTTGTTGTAGGATCTCTTTCACTTAAGTGCAGTAAATTCTTGTTTCTAGATTTGAGTTTCTGCTTACAGTGCCTATTGGGAAATCTGGCCCTGCATATGATCCATTGAAGTTCCACCTCGCAGCTTAAAGGACTTAAAGGATCTGCTGCTGATGGCTTGGTGCCAGATACCACAGCATAAATTTAGAGGTCTAGTGGAGTCAATGCCTTGATGGCTCAGGGTAGTTTTAGTGACAAAAGTGGGACCTACTCAATATTAGAAGGCCATAACGTTACGGCTGATCGGTGTATATAGGACCAGAAAGAGGGACAACTGGGAAGGAAAAAACAAATAGATTAGGTTTTAAAAGAGATACATTCTCCTCAAATGCGGGACAGTGGAGAGATATGTGTTTTGTTGTGTAAGCATGTGTGTATTTCGTTTTAGGTAGCACGCCAGTGGAAGAAGAACCAATCACCACCCAGACAGGTAGCACAGCAAAAAAAGAGGAGGAAAGAGTAAGAAGTTATTTTCCGGAGACCTTCCTTTTTGAACATATAGCAGTGGGGTAAGTAAACCTCTGAATGTTAGATATAATAACACTTAAGAGAGGTAGTACCCAGCAATAAGGTAATGAAATAAAAAAAACTGCACAAGACTGTATCAGCAAAGGAATTTCTACAATTAAAGACACCAAAACACAACTGCCAGAATGATTTTTCATTTATTTATTAACAAAAAATGCACATTATGAATGAGAACAATTACTACAGAACTGATTTTCTTTTGTTTCATTTTTACTATCTACTGGGCTGCTTTCTATAGAGCTCACTGGTGTCTGTTATTTTCTACCTATGTTTACAGTACATCTGGCCTCTATGCTCTGACATCTACATTATTTCCTTTCTTTGATCAGTTACCGTATACATGCTCAAAAAAAGAAGTAATCAATTTACAATTAACACACTGCCTGGGTAAATATACATGTAAGCATGGAACCCCCTGTACCCCAACAACAGTCAAATAGACTCAAACCTTGTTAACAAAAATTACAGTATTAAAACTAGAAAAGCTACAATTTCTGGGGAAATTGTGTGAAGTGTTCTTGCCTCCACCAGTAGTCTACAACTGGAGTGGGCGGAGTAACTGGGTGGAGTAGCTTGTCACTCTGCTGCCTGCTCACACACCTGGGTTCCTATGGCAACTCACTCTACAGCAACGGCAGAGAAGAGCAGTTAAAAACAAACTGCTCCAACTTGCTCACTTTACTGGCGGTTGCCATCTTCAAACGGTTGTAGTTTAAAAAGTATAAATCCTACACCAAAGAGCTTTATATTGTGAGAATAACAAGACCCAGACCTAAATTGGATGCATAGTATGTCTCTGAAATATTAAAAATGAAGGCAGAGTTGAAGTTTAGAAATTGCCCTTCAAATTTGAGGTGGCTAGAGTGGAGTTTCAATGAATGTCAATGGGCGGCGTGAGTTGCAAACAAATGGTCATATTGTGAAAACTATCAGGACTATGGCTTAGCCATGGACATTTTTAGTGGCAGCAGGGATAGCTGAACGTTTTGATATATGATTTGTGTAGGTGGGCTTGAAAATGAGGGAGTGGTGGCAGTTTAGATATCCTGATTTCCTGATGTCCTGATTTTTCAGCTCACACTCTAGCTTTTGTCAGCTCCCACTCTAGTTTTGAACATTCCGCCATTCATTCCTATGGGACTGATTTCACCACAAAAACGGCGATATTTCGTGAACCATTCGGCGAAACGTTCCACTAAGTAATAGCACACCAATCGGGAACAATCCGCACGTTTCGGTATATTACTGTCTATGTAGTGTAAAAACTGTGGGAGGAGTTAGGGTGGTAAATTTGGCTATAATAATAAGAATATATATGTGAAGTAACAGTAAGTGGTCTGCCATGCAAGAACACTTAATGAAAAGAAAAAGGTGTCTATACAAATTTTGCTTATTTCATATGCTTTAATAAATGAAGGCCATTGTGATGCAATCCCCTACCCAAGCTATGCAATGACAGGACTTAATGTCACATGAGAAGCTTCAGGTGTTTGAGATAACTCATCACCAGCACTCAGAATGGAACTTTTACCATATAATTGTGATCAGAGTAATGAAGTTTACTTTTTGACTGGTCACTATGTGCTAGAACTTTGCATGTTAAAACATAAGTATGAACTATGAGTGAAGAGGACAATGGCATCTGTAAGGCTAAAACAGGAAAAGAGGAAAAGATGATGGGAACTGGCTTCAGCTCAGCTCTTTACCAATAGACAAACCCCTATAATGCATTTTGCTCATGTGGGGCCTAATCATGGAGGCTTCTATGATTGATTCCTACATGTGCAAAATGCTTTAGGGGGATCTTTCTATGGGAGGAGAATCAAGCTGAAGCCAGTTCTCATCGTCTTTTACTATTTTAGCTTTACAGTCTGCTGATCCTGTGTGTATCCATCGGCCATTTTCTTGTAGTCCATTTAAGTTTGTATAATTGACTTATCTGTTTACTATAAGCTGATTACACATATACTGTGTGTGTATATGTATATATATATATATATATATATATATATATATATATATATATATATATATACAGTGCTCAGCATAAATGAGTACATCCCTTTTGAAAAGTAAGATTTTCATCAATATCTCAATGAACACAAGAACATTTTCCAAAATTTGGCAAAACTGAGTTTTATAGACCCTTTTTTTAGCTCATTACATGAAAGTAAGGTTAATAATATAACTTAGATGACAAAATCTTTAGTTTTACTTAAATTAGTTGATGCAAAAATGAATACACCCCACAACAAAAACTACTACATCTCGTATTTTGTATGACCTCCATGATTTGTAAGGACAGCACCAAGTCTCTAGACATGGAATGAACAATTTGGCGACATATTGCAACATCTTTTTCCATTCGTCAGGAATGACTTTCTTGGATGCTGGATGGAGAGTGATGCTCAACTTGTCTCTTCAGAATTTCCCATAGGTGTTTGATTGGGTTCAGATCAGGAGACGTACTTGGCCACTGAATCACTTTCACCCTGTTCTTCTTTAGAAATGTAACAGTGGCCTTAGATGCGTGTTTTAAAACATTGTCATGTTGGAAAAGCACACGGAACCAAGGGCACGGAGTGATGGTAGCATCTTCTCTTTCAATATAGAGCAGCACATCTGTGAACTGATGATACCATCAATGAAATGCAGCTCCTCGACACCAGCAGCACTCATGTAGCCCCACAGAAGGACACTGCCACCACCATGTTTCACTGTAGGCACCATGCATTTTCTTTGTACTCATATTTGCAACGCCATACAGTTTTGAAGCCATGAGTTCCAAAACATTTATCTTGGTCACATCACTCCAGAGTACAGAGTCCCAGTAGTCTTCTACTTTTTCAGCATGGGTCCTGGCAAATTCAGGGTGGGCTTTTGTGTGCATGGGCTTTAAGAAAGGCTTCCTTCATGGACGACACCCATGCATGCCATTCCTTTGCAGTGTGCGCCATATTGTGTCAAGGAAACAATCATCCCAGTTTAGCTTTCTACATCTTTAGCTAACTGCAGTGAACTTGCATGGCGAATTTCTTCAACCCTTCTCATCAGAAGATGCTCCTGTCGAGGTGTTAACTTCTGTAGACAACCTGGGTGTCTCTGTGAGATGGTTGTAGTTCCATCTTTGTTAACTTTTTGTATTACTTTTGCTACAATATTCTAACTGATAAGTAAAGCTTTGCTGATCTTCTTGCAGCATTCACCTTTCTTGTGTAAATAAATTATTTTCTTTCTCAGGCCTTGTGACATTTCAATGTGGTACCATTGCTGACAGCATGAAATGGGAAGGGGTTTTCTTTAAGTAGCATCCTTTTACACTGCTCAAAAAAATGAAGGGAACACTTTTAAAACACATCAAAACTCAATGGGGAAAAATATCATGGTGGATATCTATAATGATATGGACTGGGTAATGTTTAAGGAACGTAAGGGTGCCACACCGTTTGGACCCAGGACCTACTGCACCAGCATAGGGTCTCACAATAGGTCCAAGGATTTCCTTACCAAAATGGATTTACGATACCTAATAGCAGTCAGGGTACCATTGTCTAGCTATGTTACAGGCAGTGTCATTTTCTCCATGGCTTCTCCAGATCCTTTCACGTCTGTCACATGTGCTCACAGTGAACCTGCTCTCATCTGTGAAAAGCACAGGGTGCCAGTGGTGGACCTGCCAATTCTGGTGTTCAATGGCAAATGCCAATTGAGCTCTATGGTGCCAGGCAGTGAACACAGGGCCCATTAGAGGACGTTGGGCCCTCAGGCCACCCTCATGATGTCTGTTTTTGATTGTTTGGTCATTCACACCAGTGGCATGCTGGAGGTCATTTTGTAATGTTCTGGCAGTGCTCATCCCGTTCCTCCTTGCACAATGGAGCAGATACCAGTCCCACTGATGGGTTAAGGACCTTCTACGGCCCTGTCCAGCTCTCCTAGAGTAACTGCCTGTCTTCTGGAATCTCCTCCATGCTCTTGAGTCTATGCTGGGAGACACAGTAAATCTTCTGGCAATGGCATGTATTGATGTGCCATCCTGGAGGAGTTGGACTGCCTGTGCAACCTCTGTAGGGTCCAGGTATCTCCTCATGCAACCAGTAGTGACACTGACCCTAGCCAAATGCAAAACTAGTGAAAAACAGTCAGAAAAGATGAATAGGGAAAAAAAATGTCAGTGGCCTCCACCTGGAAAAACCCATTCCTGTTTTGGGGGTCATCTCATTGTTGCCAATCTAGTGCACCTGTTGTTAATTTCATTAACACCAAAGCAGCTGAAGCTGATTAACAACCCCCTCTGCTACTTAACTGACCAGATCAATTGACCAGTTTAATTGACTTGATGCTATACTCTGATTAAAAAGTGTTGCTTCAGTTTTTTTGAGCATTGTATAATCAACTGCCTTCTGGACACCTGTTTAATAAATAATTAGACTCACTTGTAGTTGAATTCTTAGTTTAATTCTTGTTAATTAGGATTTTGTTGTCTAAAATTTTGCTTTGCTCAGAAGACTTTCATGGGGTGTATTCATTTTAGCAACATGGTCTTGAATGGATTTGTTAGGAAAAATATTTTTTTGTGTGTGCAACTTAACAAATCTTGTTTGCAATCAATGTGGGAGTTTTTTGTAGTATAGTGTCCCATAGAAATGTTGACTCTGAAAGAAAAGTAAAGGTTTTCTGACAAACCTGTCGGGGTGTACTCATTTATGCTGAGCACTGTGTGTATATATATATATTTATGTGTATATATATATAATGATTTCTGTGCTTTTCAGGGTGGAAGGCAGTGCCGAACTCCATAAGAAGACTCCAGACACTATCACAGACTGGATTGGGGGAGCAGTATGTTTGGGTCCCAGTGGATTTGGCCTTTCTCCTCCTGCCTCACTTCGAGTCTTCAAGCCATTCTTTGTGGATCTAACCCTCCCATACTCTGTAGTCCGGGGAGAAACATTTACCCTAAAAGCTTCTACATTTAACTACATGAAGAACCCTATGGAGGTAAAAAAATTAAATGAGAAAAAACATTGTCACATTGGAAAAATATAGCTCCCCCTTACATGGTTTGTTGTTTGTCAGTTATAATGGGTGAAAGGTTTTTTAATTCAACTGTATGTTTGTCCAATTCCTTGAAACTTTTGATGAATAAAAAACATTGTTCCCACTTTAGCTTTTCATACTTTACACCCACTATAACCAAACCTGTAGATTTTTCCTGCATGTAAGTGGGTGGACACTTCCACTGACTGACTTGTTTCTATTCCAAGAGTTTAGCAAGAAAAATAACCAGCTAATCATGTTTTTTTTTCTTACAAATCAGCAATATATCAGTAATGCTGTGATGGTGCTGCATTCATAGCTATATAAAAGGTAATGCTAAAAGCTAATGTGTGTAGCATGAAGGCAGAACTGACCAAGGTATGACCTGGGGATTGGCCTGTTTCTGCACCAGCAGATTGATTGTATCCCCAGCAGAGCAAATTCAGAGCAGATCTCTTACGTATTTATATTGTGCAGACAGCCATCACAGTGTAGTATGACGAGTCTGAGAAACATAGATTAGAGTTCACCTGAGGTCCAATAGTTGTCGTCCTGTCAACAGTATGATAAAGATAAACCTTTCATCATACTGTTATTATTATTATTATTATTATTATTACATGGAGTTTATATAGCGCCAAAGGGTTTGCTCAGCGCTGTACAAAAGAGGGGGGGACAATACATGGCACAGTACAACAACAACAAACAACGTACGAGGGGTAAGAGGGCCCTACTCTTTCGAGCTTACAATCTAGGTGGGAGGGGGTAAAGGTACAGTAGGAAGTGGCTGAGGGGAATGAGGGGTGGGAGGAAAGAGGGAGAATGGCCGTTAGGTGAGGGTGGGGTAGGCTTCCCTGAAGAGATGGGTTTTGAGGGAGCGCCTGAATGTGAAGAGGGAAGGCGACAGTCTGATGGATTGGGGCAGTGAGTTCCAGAGGATGGGGGAGGACCTGGAGAAGTCCTGCAGTCGTGCATGGGAGGAGGAGACCAGGGAGCAGGATAGAAGGAGGTCCTGTGAGGAGCGAAGAGTACGGGTAGGGCGGTACTTGGGGATCAGGTTGGTGAGGTAGTCAGGGGCAGTGTTGTGAACAGCTGTGTAGGTCAGGGTTAGGAGTTTAAATTTGATGCGTTGGGCAATCGGGAGCCAGTGGAGGGAGAGGCAGAAGGGGGTGGCAGAGGTGGAGCGGGTGGTGAGGTGGATGAGTCTAGCCGCTGAGTTCAGGATGGTCTGGAGCGGGGAGAGCCTGCACTTGGGTAGGCCGGTGAGAAGAGAATTACAGTAGTCAAGGCGTGAGATGATGAGGGAGTGTACTAGAAGTTTGGTGGTGTCAAGGGTGAGGAAGGTACGTATCTTGGCAATGTTGCGAAGATGGAGCCTGCATGTGTTTGTGAGTGATTTGACATGCGGTTGGAAGGAAAGGTTCGAGTCAAGAATGACGCCAAGGACTTTGGCTTGCGGGGCGGGAATGATAGTGGAGTTGTTGGTGATGATGGATAGGATGGGGGGGGGGGGTGTTGGCAGGGGGAAAGACGAGGAGCTCGGTTTTGGAGAGGTTGAGCTTGAGGAAATGGAGCGACATCCAGTCTGAGATGTCATTTAGGAGGTGAGTGATGCGGGCGGAGATAGTGGGGGTGAGGAGAGGGGTGGAGAGGTAGATTTGGGTGTCGTCAGCGTAGAGGTGATAGTTGAAGCCGTGAGAGTGTATGAGTTTGCCCAGGGAGGAGGTGTAGATGGAGAAGAGAAGGGGTCCAAGGACAGAGCCTTGGGGGACCCCAACAGAGAGGGGGAGGGAGGGGGGGTGGCACCATTGTAGGTGACACTGAAGGAGCGTTGGAATAGGTAGGATGAGAACCAAGAGAGAGCAGTATCTCTGATGCCAAGGGAGAGTAGTTTATTAAGGAGGGGGGTGGTCAAACTGTCTCGAAGGCCGCAGAGAGGTCCAGGAGAAGGAGGACAGAGTAGTCGCCTTTGGCTTTGGCGTTTAGTAGGTCGTTAATGATTTTGAGGAGGGCAGTTTCAGTGGAGTGTAGGGGACGGAAGCCGGACTGTAGTGGGTCAAGGAGGTTATTGTCTGTAAGGTGGGAGCTTAGGCGATCGTAGACTATGCGTTCAAGGAGCTTGGAGGTGAGTGGCAGCAGGGAGATGGGTCTGAGGTTGTTGGGGTCCGCGGGATCCAGGGAGGGCTTTTTGAGGATGGGGGTGATATGTGCGTGCTTTAGGGGGGAGGGGGAATATGCCAGTAGAGAGGGAGAGATTGAAGATGTGGGTGAGGGAGCAGATGAGGGAGGCGGGGGGTGTGACCGGAGGAGTTGAGAGGGGATAGGGTCCAGGGGGCAGGTAGTGAGGCGGGCTTCTGAGAGGACTTTGGCGACTTCCTCAGTAGTGACAGGGCTCCCTGTCGAGGAAAAAACAATCTCTCCGGGGTTCCAAATTATTTATCACCTCCTAAGTCATCTTCTAGATACCCCCTTCCAGAGATTGGCTAGCGTATGATAAATATTCAGACTGGAAATTTAAATTTCCCTGTCCCATATTGTGGAAGACTCTTCCCAAAGCAGAGGGAAGCAATCAAACTCCCAACTTGTAACAGACCAGAACAATCACTGCCCTCCTGACTACAAAATGAGCTACATGAGGAATCTTTTGTATGCTTAATGCATAAGGTTATAAAGCCAAAAAGTGATTTTAGTCCTTACTGGTTACCCATTACACAGCCACTCAAAATGCTACAGATGTAACTTAGTGTACTCCTGAAGTGGGTTCCATCTGGGTCTGACCTAATGATGCTTCACTATCATTTCCCCATGCTTTCCACACCCAAGGGGTGCTTTCTGTGCTATGCAGAAACACAGATTAGCTGTCCTTTGCCTAGGCAGAACCAGCAGCTTAAATTTGGAAGGAACACACTCCAAAAGAATTAAAATTATGTGGCTCCCTCCTAGATAGCTGCTAGGTTTGGTAGAGTCAGTTCGTGGCTCACTGTAATCAGTGGAGCTGTGTGTGCTTGTTCTGATCTGATCTGCTCTGTTCTGTCTTTCACTGGCTGCAGATTGACTTCTTCACCCGGTCTGTCTGAAAGAAATCTAGAAGGGCTGGGAGAGTTAAATCAGCAGCTGCATATTTTTGCAGCCCTGGCCAATCCTTGGGGAGAGTGTGCTCAGATGATGGCTTAGAGGGTGTATAAATACTCTGAGACTTGGAGCAGAGGGGTCTTTTTCCAAGAGGAGGAGACTATAGCCTGGGGTGGAGGCTGTTTGCCCTCTTGGGCAATCCTGCCATGTGCTGCTCATTGAGGTCCCAGCAATGCTAGCTGGGGGGTTTAATCTGCTATAAGAGGCTGGCACTGACTGATATTGGAAGGAGGCATTCAATTATCCATGGACATTAGTGAGTACAGGATCGTGTGAGAAATCTTTGAGACTATGTGCTAAGGCCAAAACTCTTAGAGTTCGCATTTCTCAAAGGGGACTTTGTGTCTGATGTCTCTATATAGCTTGTATAAGGACTCAGATCTTTAGGAGAAAGTTTAGCATCCCTAAGTTGCTGAGAAAAGTTACTGGAGTATCCCACAGTTATAATAACTATATGATATAGTAAATATGCAGCGCTAAAATATAATATAAAGTACAAAATAATAGGTAATCACTCGTTGAAAATGCAAAAAAAGTCCAGAAAAATAGTGATCCGTAATCCATGCTGGTGAATTCTATGACGACGGCCAGTAAAATTATGCACTTACCAGAAGCGCATAAAATATGCGCATGTATGTAATATATCCATCTAAGGTCATCTGGGTCTGGGCAGGGGCTGCGGGGTCGTCAAGCACACCGTGGGCACACAGGGTAACACTGCTCCCTCACAGGACTCACTCTGCTCACTCTACTCCCAGGGACAGCTCCACATTCTAAGCAAATCAGAAGCACCAGTAGTTGGGGAGATCTCCACCTTGTGTTTTGATACGTCATAATAAGACGATATATCACGTCATCACTATATACCGTGGGGCAAAAAAGTATTTAGTCAGCCACCAATTGTGCAAGTTCTCCCACTTAAAAAGATGAGAGAGGCCTGTAATTGGCATCATAGGTAGACCTCAACTATGAGAGACAAAATGAGGAAAAAAATCCAGACAATCACATTTTGACCCCACGGGGTGAGATCTTGCGTGGAGCCCCAGATCGAGGGAGATTATCAGTGGTCTTGTATGTCTTCCATTTTCTAATTATTGCTCCCACAGTTGATTTGTTCACACCAAGCTACTTGCCTATTGCAGATTCAGTCTTCCCAGCCTGGTGCAGGTCTACAATTTTGTTTCTGGTGTCCTTCGACAGCTCTTTTGTCTTCACCATAGTGGAGTTTGGAGTGTGACTGTTTGAGGTTGTGGATAGGTGTCTTTTATACTGATAACAAGTTCAAACAGGTGCCATTGATACAGGTAATGAGTGCAGGACAGAAGAGCCTCTTAAAGAAGAAGGTACAGGTCTGTGAGAGCCAGAAATCTTGCTTGTTTGTAGGTGACCAAATACTTATTTTCCATAATTTGCAAATAAATTCTTTCCAAATCAGTCAATGTGATTGTCTGGATTTATTTTCTCATTTTGTCTTTCATAGTTGAGGTCTACCTATGATGCCAATTACAGGCCTCTCTCATCTTTTTAAGTGGGAGAACTTGCACAATTGGTGGCTGACTAAATACTTTTTGCCCCACTGTATGCGCTATAGTAGCACTCACTTCCTTTAGTGATTACCTATTATTTTGTACTTTTATATTATATTTTAGCACTGCATATTTATTATATCATATTATCTGGAGGTTTAGAGGTCTACCTTTTATGCTAGCTGCTTGGTTTATGTGCGATCTCAATTACTTTTACTTTTCTATAATAACTATATACTGTAGATGTAGGCATCAAGAGTAATGGGTATCGCTAAAAATATGAAGTATTGCCCAATAACCAGAAAAACCTAGAAAAAAGCAATGTGAACAGACAATTCACAAAAGAAAAGCGGTTACATAAAAGACAATACAATGCTCAAAAAATGTAATCAGAGTATGTTTTTTTTAGCAAAGTTGCAATATGAAACAATTGAGTTAAGACTGCAAGATAGCAATCACCTCAATAGTGGACAATACAAAAAAAAAACGACCTAAAACAAAAAAATAAAACAAAAATAAATAAAGTTTTTTTTATTTTTATTTTTTGGTTTTAGGTCCTTTTTTTTGTCCAATGTTGAGGTAATGGCTATCTTGCAGTCTTATATTATTATTATTATTATTATTATTATTACATCGAGTTTATATAGCGCCAAAGGGTTTGCTCAGCGCTGTACAATAGGGGGAACAATAATGGCACAGTACAACAAAAACAGACAGCGTACGAGGGGTAAGAGGGCCCTACTCTTTCAAGCTTACAATCTAGGAGGGAGGGGGTAGTGGAACAATAGGAAGTGGCTGAGGGGAATGAAGTGGCTGAGGGGGATGAAGTGGTGGGAGGAATGAGGGAGGATGGCCGTTAGGTGAGGGTGGGGTAGGCTTCCCTGAAGAGATGGGTCTTGAGGGAGCGCCTGAATGTGGGGAGGGAAGGCGACAGTCGGATGGATTGGGGCAGTGAGTTCCAGAGGATAGGGGAGGACCTGGAGAAGTCCTGCAGTCGTGCATGGGAGGAGGAGACCAGGGAGCAGGATAGAAGGAGGTCCTGTGAGGAGCGAAGGGTACGGGTAGGGTGGTACTTGGGGATCAGGTTGGTGAGGTAGTCAGGGGCAGTGTTGTGAACGGCTTTGTAGGTCAGGATTAGAAGTTTAAATTTGATGCGTTGGGCAATCGGGAGCCAGTGGAGGGAGAGGCAGAGGGGGTGGCAGAGGTGGAGCGGGTGGTGAGGTGGATGAGTCTGGCCGCTGAGTTCAGGATGGTCTGGAGCGGGGAGAGCCTGCACTTGGGTAGGCCAATGAGAAGAGAGTTGCAGTAGTCAAGGCGTGCGATGATGAGGGAGTGTACAAGAAGTTTGGTGGTGTCTGGGGTGAGGAAGGCACGTATCTTGGCAATATTGCGGAGATGGAGCCTGCATGTGTTTGCAAGTGATTTGACATGAGGGAGGAAGGAGAGGTTCGAGTCAAGAATGACGCCAAGGACTTTGGCTTGCGGGGCGGGAATGATAGTGGTGTTGGTGGTGGTGATGGATAGGGGGGGGGGGGGGGGTGTGGGCAGGGGGAAAGATGAGGAGTTCGGTTTTGGAGAGGTTAAGCTTGAGGAAATGGAGCGACATCCAGTCTGAGATGTCGTTTAGGAGGTGAGTGATGCGGGCGGAGATAGTGGGGGTGAGGAGAGGGGTGGAGAGGTAGATTTGGGTGTCGTCAGCATAGAGGTGATAATTGAAGCCATGGGAGTGTATGAGTATGCCCAGGGAGGAGGTGTAGATGGAGAAGAGAAGGGGTCCAAGGACAGAGCCTTGGGGGACCCCAACAGAGAGGGGGAGGGAGGGGGAGGTGGTACCATTGTAGGTGACGCTGAAGGAGCGTCGGGATAGGTAGGATGAGAACCAGGAGAGAGCGGTATCTCTGATGCCAAGGGAGAGTAGTTTATTAAGGAGGAGGGGGTGGTCGACTGTGTCGAAGGCCGCAGAGAGGTCCAGGAGAAGGAGGACAGAGTAGTCGCCCTTGGCTTTGGCATTTAGTAGGTCATTAGTGATTTTGAGGAGGGCAGTTTCAGTGGAGTGTAGGGGACGGAAGCCGGACTGTAATGGGTCAAGGAGGTTATTGTCAATAAGGTGGGCGCTTAGGCGATTGTAGACTATGCGCTCAAGGAGCTTGGAGGTGAGTGGCAGCAGGGAGATGGGTCTGAGGTTGTTGGGGTCCGCGGGATCCAGGGAGGGCTTTTTGAGGATGGGGGTGATATGTGCGTGCTTTAGGGTGGAGGGGAATGCACCAGTAGAGAGGGAGAGATTGAAGATGTGGGTGAGGGAGCGGATGAGGGAAGAGGGGGGGTGACCGGAGGAGTTGAGAGGGGATAGGGTCCAGGGGGCAGGTAGTGAGGCGGGCTTCTGAGAGGACCTTGACGATTTCCTCAGTAGTGACAGGGCTGAGGGAGTGCAGTGCAGGGGGGGTTACGGTGGGCGGGGCCTTGGGAGCGGTGGAGGGCAGTGCGGTTGTGAGGGCAGAGGAGGGGGGAGAAGAAGGGGTGACGGGGGTGGGGAGGTTAGGTGGGGAGGTAGATTGCGAGTTGACAATGTCCTTACGGATAGTGTCAATCTTGTTACGGAAATGGGTGGCAATCTCGTGGGTGGTGAGTGAGGTACTGAGTGGAGGAGGGGGGGGGGAGAGAGCAGGGAGTTGAAGGTGGAGAAGAGTCGGCGAGGGCAGGAGGAGAGGGTGTTGATTAGGTTAACAAAGTAGGCCTGCTTGGCGGCGTGGAGGGAGGAGGTGTAAGTGAGGAAGGCAGATTTGTAGAGGGAGAATGCGTGAGGGGACCTGGTTTTGCGCCACAGTCTCTCCAGTGCGCGCAACTGTGACGTTTGAGGCGTTTAGTGCTGTCATTCTGCCATGGTTGAAGCGGCCTGGGTTTGATCATTCGTGTGGTTAGGGGTGCCAGAGAGTCTAGGGCAGCTGACAGTGACTCGTTGTACAAGGTGGTGGCTATGTCAGGACATGACAGTGGGAGGATGCTGTCGTGTAGGCGGTCGGCGGCTGAGTGGAGGGGGGCCGGGTTCAGGTTGCGGAGATTGCGGCTGGTGATGGTTTGGCGTTTTTGGGGGGGGGAGTTGGGGGAAGGGGAGATGGAGAACGTGATGAGGGTGGTGGTCAGAGAGAGGGAAGGGGGTGTTAAAGAACTGGTTGAGGGTACAGAGGTGGGAGAAGACAAGGTCCAGGGTGTTCCCTCCGATGTGGGTGGAGGATTGCGTGTGCTGTGTGAGCGCGAAGGAGGAGGTTAGGTGGAGGAATTGGAAAGTGGCCGGGTTGTTGTTGTTGATGGGGATGTTGAAGTCCCCGAGGATGATGGTCGGTAGCTCAGAGGAGAGGAAGAAGGGGAGCCAGGCGGCGAAGTTGTCCAGGAAGTGGGGTATGGACCCAGGAGGTCTGTAGATCACTGCGATCCTTAGGGGGGTGGGTGAGAAGAGTCGGATGCAGTGCGCCTCAAAGGAGGGGAAGGATAGAGAGGGTGGGTTAGGGAGGACCTGGAAGGTGCTCAGCGGTGAAAGGAGCAGGCCGACACCACCACCTCTGCGATCGCTCAGTCTTGGCGAATGGGTCCAGATGAGACCTCCATGTGTGAGTGCCGCAGGGGAAGTGGAGTCGGTGGCCTGTACCCAGGTTTCGGTGACTGCTAGGAGGTTTAGGGAGCGGGAGATGAAGAGGTCGTGGAATGCGGTAAGTTTGTTGCAAACCGAACGAGCATTCAGGAGTGCAACCGAGAGAGGGGGGATAGGTATGGGGAGGTGGGGTACATGTATGAGGTTGAGGCGGTCACGTCGGCTGGCGTGAGCAGGGGGGGCTCTAGGGGGGGGGGGGGGTGAGGTGGTGAGGGGCCAGGGTTCGGGGAGATGTCCCCAGCTGATATGAGAAGGAGGATTCTTATACAATTGTTTCATATTGCAACTTTGCTAATAAAAGCGTATTCTGATTACATTTTTTGAGTATCGCATTTTATGTAACCACTTTTCTTTTGTGAATTCTCTGTTCGCATTGCTTTTTTCTAGTATCCCACAGTTACCCTGAACCTGTTCAAGTTCTGTAATAAAGCATTAGAAAAGCATAACCCTGGCCTGTTCATTGAATCAAAGGAGTGAGCGTGTCTGTTTGCCTGGCTGCAGGGCAACCATGGGAAAAGAGCCTAGGGACCCTAAACTGTAAATTCCTGCGGGAGTGAGCGCTACAGTTATTTAGGGACTTAGGGCCGGTTCACACAATAGAAACACAGTTCAGATGCGTTACGTATTTGCATGCATATTTTTTATGCATTCCAGTGCATTTTTTACGCATTACAGTTAATTTTTTCCCCTCTCTTTTTCAGTTTAAATAGGGACATGTGCATCCAGTGCATTTGTGATGCGTTCCCAGTGCATTTTTGATGCTTTTTACCGCATTCCAGTACAGTTCTGTGCAGAAGAAATGCAGCATGTTCTACTTTTGTTTTCTGGAACTGCAAGCACTGATGTGAACTATGACACTGACAACCATATAACCTACTTTCTGTACATTTTGGATGCAGAAAAAAAGCAACTGAAAACACATGTAGTGTGAACTGGCCCTAAAACTGTTTGTTGTAGGAAGGGCGCAATCAGAAGAACTAGTTTACTAAAATACATTTTTGACATGCTGTGCTACATGACATGCACTCCATGTATTATTGTAGCACTGAAAGGTGTCTACAACAGTAACTTGTATTGTTAGTCACAAAATGGTTTATTGAGAACGAGTGACAAACCTGCTATAAAAAAAGTTTTTTTCTTTTCAGATTCGGACCACATTGTACATCAGCAGTGACTTAGAAGAGATGCTATGTGAAGAATGTCGTCACAGCAGCTGTATAGGAGCAGATGAGAGCGAAACCTTCTCCTGGAAACTAAAAGCCAAAGTCTTGGGTAAGATGCCATCCTAAAGATCATGGGTAGGAATAGGTAAATGAGCCAAGAGTTTCCTTACATCCAGTTTTGCATAGTTGTAATTGCCTAATCTGATCACTGCACACATTTGTACATTAGAAGCTGCAGCAATTCAGACAGAGCCCATTTCATGCCATGGCTGGAGAACAACATCTAGCATTATGTACAGTTACAAGAAAAAGTATGTGAACCCCTGGGATTACGTGGAGTTTTGCATGAATTGGGCATAAAATGTGCTCTGAACGTCATCTAAGTCACAACAATAGAAGAACACAGTCTGCTGAACATAATACTTCACAAACATTAGATGTTGCCATGGTTTAATTGCACATAACATGTAAACATTCACAGTGCAGGGAGGAAAAAGTATGTGAACCTTTGGACTTAATAACTGGTTGACCCTTCTTTGGCAGCAATAACCTCAACCAAACGTTTCCTGTAGTTGCAGATCAGACCTGCACAACGATCTGGAGTCATTTTGGACCACTCCTCTTCACAAAACTGTTTCAGTGTAGCAATATTCTTGGGATGTCTGGTGTGAATCGCTCTCTTAAGGTCATGCCACAGCATTTCAATCGGGTTGAGGTCAGGACTCTGACTGGGCCACTCCAGAAGGTGTATTCTGTGCTGTTGCAGCCATTGTTTTGTTGAATTACTTGTATGCTTTGGGTCATTGTCCTGTTGCATCACCCATCCTCTGCGGAGCTTCAGTTGGCGGACAGATGGTCGTACGTTTTCCTGCAAAATGTCTTGATAAACTCTGGAATTCATTTTCCCATCAATGACAACAATCCGTCCAGGCCCTGAGGCAGCAAAGCAGCCCCAAACCATGATGCTCCCTCCGCCATGTTTCACAGTTAGGATGAGGTTTTGATGTTGGTGTGCTGTGCCTTTTTTTCTCCACACATAGTGTTGTGTGTTCTTCCCAAGCAACTCAATCTTGGTTTCATCTGTCCACAGTATATTTTGCCAGTAGTGCTGTGGAACATCCAGGTGCTCTTTTGCAAACTTCAAACGTGCTGCAATATTCTTTTTGGACAGCAATGGCTTCCTCCGTGGTGTCCTCCCATGTACTCCATTCTTGTTTAATGTTTTCCTTATTGTAGATGGGTCAACAAAAATGTTAGCATGTGCCAGAGATTTCTGTAGGTTTTTAGTTGATACTCTGGGATTCTTCTTTACCTCATGCAGCATTCTGCGCTGTGCTCTTGCAGTCATTTTTACAGGACGACCACGCCTAGGGAGAGTAGCAACAGTGCTAAACTTTCTCCATTTGTAGACAGTCTGTCTTACCGTGGACACATGAACATCAAGGCTTTTGGAGATACTTTTGTAACCCTTTCCAGCTTCATGCAAGTCAACAATTCTTGATCGTAGGTCTTCTGAGAGCTCTTTTCTGCGAGGCATGGTTCACATCAGACAGTGCTTCTTGAAACCAGCAAACCCAAAACAGGTGTGTGTTTTTTCAAGGGCAGGACAGCTGTCAGCAACACATCCAATATCATCACACTGATTGGAGTCAAGGTTGGCTCACTCCTGGCTCCAATTAGCTCTGGGAGAAGTCATTAAGCTAGGGCCTCACATACTTTTTCCTCCCTGCACTGTGAATGTTTACATGTTATGTGCAATTAAACCATGGCAACATCTAATGTTTGTGTAGTATTATGTTCAGCAGACTGTGTTCTTCTATTGTTGTGACTTAGATGACATTCAGAGCACATTTTATGCCCAATTCATGCAAAACTCCACGTAATCCCAAGGGGTTCACATACTTTTTCTTGCAACTGTAGCTCACCAACTTCCCCCAGCCTTTGTTTTTCCTGGCCTGCCCCTTTACTTCATTGGATTTCAGTTCTTTCAATCATGGAAGCTCAGAGTTTACATGTATATGTTACCCAGCAAAATCTTTTGATATTTGCATAACTCCTTCAAAGAGCCACCCCCAGTGGTGTATTTAGGATTTGTGCTGCCCTAGGCAACACAAAAATTGGCTCCCCCCATTGACCAATACCCCAGCACCCCCCACCCCTACCCGAGAGAGCCTTCCACTACCACCGCCCCCCATACATTGGCAAACCTCCCCGCCCCCACCCTGACAAGAGATAAGACACTCACCTTCACAGCTCTGGACATCCCGGGGAACAAGAGTCAGGCTCTGCATACACCATCAAGCAGCCCACAGCCTCTTTTGGATCCCACCTGGTCCCCGTGCTGCGTGTGTCCCTTCTTTCTTTCCTTCATTCGGGGGGACAGCGCTGCCACCCTGAAAAATGCTGCTGCCCACCTGAAAAATGCCGCCCTAGGCAAATGCCTTGTTTGCCTTGTGATAAATACACCCCTGGCCACCCCACTGCATACATCAAGGCTGAGGGCTCTTGAGAGGAGTACTGAGGCAGGGTGCTATGATGATTTCAGAAAGCTATGTACATCACACTGCTGCTTCCTTCCACCATCCATGATCTGCCTGCATTGCATAGAGAAGGACAGAGACCAGTGATTATGTAAAAAAATAAGGTATGTAATGAAAACAAAAAGGGTGTCTTTTTTTTCTATTTCATTAGCATGTTAACGAGGGGGAAAGGAGGAATCAAGGAAGGCAAAATATAAAGCGCTTTAAAAGCTGAAAAAAGAAAAGTGACCGTACAATCTGACTTCTGGCAAGCTTACATAAACTAGGGTGACATCACTGGGCATTTATACAGAATCCTGAGATAAGGATCTCAAATTCCACAAAAAAGCAGGACAGTACAGGAGTGCATTCCTGCAGTACTTGGGATCCTCAGCTTTCCTGGGGTCCTGTGAAAAGGTCCACTGATATCAGTGCTTACAGGAAGCTGTGATGTAAAACTATATTTGGGCAGTGGGGGCTGCAAATAAATGGAACTTATGTTTTCATGTATTGGGCTGTGCAATCGTGTAGCACAATGATTCTCAAACGTTTTTCAGTCAAGGCACCCTCTAAAAATTACAGACAGTCCCAAGGTACCCTCTAAAATTATGGACAGTCCCAAGGTACCCTCTAAAATTACGGACAGTCCCAAGGCACCCTCTAAAATTGTGGACAGTCCCAAGGTACCCTCTAAAATTATAGACAGTCCCAAGGTACCCTCTAAAATTACGGACAGTCCCAAGGTACCCTCTAAAATTTACGGACAGTACCAAGGCACCCTCTAAAATTGTGGACAGTCCCAAGGTACCCTCTATAATTATGGGCAGTCCCGAGGCACCCTTTAAAATGATAGACAGTCCCGAGGCAACCCATTCTAAAATGTAAAAAACTATTCTAATAGTATTATATACACACATCAATATCCATACATGTAGGACCCCCAACATTAGAGGTGATGTACTCTTCCAAAGCAAAACATTTTTGCACACTGGTACTGACTAGTACACCGATGTTTCTCTACTCCCTCAGTTTTTCTCCATCACTGAGCTAATATGGCTAATATGATCCCAGAGCTGACCCCAACTGACCTCTTCCTTATCAACTGATGATGTCTTTGGTTGTCAGAACACCGGCAGCTAGAAGGTCGTAATGGGGCACAATTAAATCCCAGGGCTTTCTGCAACTAAAAGGCAGGCTTGTTCCACCCATTGGCTTAAATACAAGCTTTGGGCAATTTTTAGACATTTTGCCAAGGCACCCCTGAAGAAACCTCAAGGCACCCTGTTTGAAAAAAGCTGGTGTAGCAGCACAAATGAAGGAGTCTAATTCCTTCAAACATGTCAGCTGAGAACACGTCCCACCATATTCTTGGCCCTGTAGTCCTTCCTGAGAGCATTTGGTAAATGTAATGCTTAGTATGTTTGCTTTCATTAAAATTGCTGTTACAGGCTTCGCTATGCGTGTGCACTCTGGTACATATCTTGGGTTTCACGCACATTGGGGCTCTTCTAAATGCTTTTTTCCTGGCAGGAGAGAAGCAGCTGCAAAAATGCACCTAAGTTGTTTTTTTTTCAAATGCGATTAGGCGTGTCAAGTGCTTGGATGTTTATTTATTTAATTGGCCAGAATATTAATTTATTCTTGCCATTGGAATTAAAAATACTCAAGCTAAACATGCCTTTAGACGTGTTTACATGTGTTTACGTACGTTTACAGGCATCAGGAATTTTTTTCTGCTACAACGCTCCTCCCCTGAACGCCCAAGTGATTTTTTTTTCTGACTCTAAGAGCCCTGCCTCTAAACTCCTGTAAATGGACACATACTGTAGGTTAACATGGAGGTTAGTTTAGAGGCAGATTAAAAAAACTCAAAACGCCTAAAAAAGCAGCATTTTTAACTCAACTGTGCATAAGGCCTTATGTATGTGTATGTTTTTGGTGGGAACTAGAATGAAACTGGGGTAAAATGAAAGTTGACTATGTGGTTCAGTGCATTTTGCAGAATGCTTTGGATAATAGTAGTGCTATATAAAAGGATACAATCAATCTCTTAGATTGTAAGCTCCAAGGAGCAGGGCCCTCCTAATCCTCTTGTATTGAACTGTATTGTTGCTGTATTGTCTCCTGTTATATTGTAAAGTGCTGAGCAAACTGTTGGCGCTATATAAATCCTGTATAATAATAATTATAATAATAATAGTTTATGATTACTAGTAATTAGCATCTGTGCCTCCTTATAGGTCAAGTAAACATCACAGTGAAAACTGAGGCTCTGGACACAAAAGAATTGTGCAAAAAAGAGATACCAATTGTCCCTAAGCAAGGAAGCACAGACACAATTGTCAAGTCCTTACTTGTTCAGGTCAGTATGTGTCAGGCAAGCATTTTCCTATAGTGTCTGGAGAATCTACAAGTAGGAACATACACCACCTTTCTATTGACCTGTGTCCATAGTTTCTTTGCCTTGCTGTTAAAACAAATAAATAGCTCTGTGTAAGTTTCCCAATCCAGCTAAAATGATGTCTTAGTACTGAAGGACATGGTAGAATTTGGGCGCCATCAAACTCCAACCTAAACAAAGCCATCACCATACAGACTTCCATTTTATATAAATGTAAAGCTTATTCACATATTTTACATAAGGCAAATGACAGATAACAACCAAAGCTTTTGTCATGACATGATAGGATTTTATGTAAAGCCATAGCTTGTACTTTATAAAATGTAGGGGAAGGAAAATCCTCTGTGGTCACCACTACAAAATTTGGGTCCCCAATACTAGCCTCCATAAATATTGGTGAGACCAAAAATGTGTCATTTCATATTCGAGGTTATATGAAGGGAACAAATACTAAATGCCTATTATTTTTGTTGTCACCGTTATACAAAATTTGACGTGTTGTGGCTAGACGTGTTGGGGCATGATGGATACGCCACTTAAGTCAAATTACCCAAAGATCACAGTCGGTCAAAGGTAAATAAAATTTGCACATTTCCCAAGAGGTTGGTTGTGTTACTAAATTCCCACTTCCATCCCACAGAGGACTAATCTACATACAATTTAGCAACATCTTATTTACTTATGTGAACACCTTTAAAACAATCACAAGAAAAATAATAACCAAGTCAATGAGTGTTATGGAAGTGAAGAATGATTAAAAGCAGAAGTTTCTTCTACTTTCCTTTGTGCCACCAAAGGAAACACCTTTATCACTACCACCATGATAAGTCAGACCTTAGTAATAATCCCACCACCATCAGAATAATTACCATACATAGCTTTGGAGACACAATGGGGGAAGATACTTTTAAAACTGGAGCACTGAAAATTTGATGCAGCTGTGCATGATAGCCAATCAGCTTCTACCATCAGCTTCTATAAGCGTTGGCAACAAAACCTGGAAGTTTCTATGCAGAGTTGCACCAATTTTGCACTTTACAGGTTTAGTAAATAACCCCCAATTATTGAAATGTCTTGAGGGCATCACTTAAAATAGACTAAGTCTTTTTTTATTTTTTGGTGTAAAATGATGTTATCACATAACTATAATTTTTTCATGACTATTATATATGCAGAGGAAATACTATGTAATGCAATATACTATATAATTGATTCTTTTATTGATCTTCACAGCCTGGAGGGATCCTAGTGGAGAAATCATTTAGCTCCCTGATGTGCATACATGAGAAAAAAGGTGAGGAATATCTGGCCAGGTTTACAGATATAATTTGTGTTGCCCATATCAACTATTCTGAAGTTGTCTTTTGTTTTATAAACTAAGAATGAAAGCTGGCATCCTATTGCTGCAGAAATACATATTTTTATTAATTTTGGACTGATATTGTACTTCCATGGCTTTTGAGATAGCATCCAGGTTTTGAACATTCCTGTATTCTGTACAGTATCTTTGTTGCGGCATGCTGGATATCTGGAATGTCATCAAATCTGTGTTCTTTTGCAGCATTTTGGAAACAGCCAAAAGTTGCAGGGTGCTAAGTCAGGGGAATAAGGTGGTTTGTCAAGTTTTGAAATGGATTTCTGGGCCAGGAATTTGCAAACACTTAACACATCATGTGCAGGAGCACTGTCTAATTTCAGAACTAAAACTAATCTTAGAAAGTATTATTTTACTGAAAGGGTAGTTGATGCTTGGAATAACCTTTCATCAGAGGTAGTGAGCCAGTCAACAGTAAATAGCTTCAAACATGCTTGGGATAAACATATATCTATAGTCAAACAAAGATGTTAACAAAAAAAAATGAACAGGCTTGATGGACCACTCAGTCTTTTTTCCTAACTTCATTTTTCTATGTTTCTGTGTCCTGGTGGCTCATCCAGAGTTTCAGTCTTTTCCTCCAAACAGATTCCAATAAGCTTTTCACTGTTCACATTTTCACATTTACATCTGTTCTTTGCATTTTTGGCTGCCCACTTCTTGTGTCATTGTGGACATCTTCCCTCCCCTTCTTAACCTGCCTATGCCATTCAAAAACACATGATTTCTTCATGGAATGTTCACCATAAGTCTGTTGTAATAGAGCTAAAGTTTCACTATTTTTGCCAATTTTCACTCAACATTTGATGTTAATCTACTGCTTCAGATTCCTGTCATTCATATTCTGCCAACAGTGCAATGCGCACACATATTATTTCTACTACTGTTCCGTAAAGACCAAATCAACTGGTCTATGACCCAGGCGAGTGCAAATTAGAACATGTCAGAATACTCTTGCAGGAATTAAATTGTCACATCTTGTATGTCAGTGATATAAGTTACCCACTGAGTTCTATATTTCCTAGGGGCTCTAGAAAAATCTCCTCACCATAGTCTCAATTCCTGGAGTCTTATTCATCCTACAACCAAAACGTTCCCTGAGTTTGCTCTTTTCCTGTTATAATCTCTATGTCACAGAATAAAAATCCAAAAGGGAAAGCAAGAACCCCATGCCCTTGCATAAGCAGAGCTCTGAATTTAACTGCAGAGATTTCCACCATGAGTCCTCACAAACTTTACAATACTAAAGTAATTTGATATATTGTACTTTTTCATTGACAGTCTACTAAACATCATTTCATTCTAGACAATACAAAGACGGAGGAAGTCATTTTGAAGGTTCCAGAGAAAATCCTGGAGAATTCTCAAAGAGCTCATATCACACTGCTTGGTAAGATTTAAAGAATTTTCTTCAATTTACAATTACCATAAAACCACATACTGTATATATACTGTAGTACTTTATTTCTAAACATTCATAATTACCACCATTCACTCTTAATCTGCCCTAATTCCTCAACCTCTGCCCAAAACCTTAATCTTTAGTTTGCAATAGAACCACATTTATAAACATCATAGATCAAACCAACCAGTTCTATTGGTCAGCATACATTGACCTTTACATATCAATTGGTTAAAGTGGAACTTTACATACATGCTGACTTCCTTTAAGCTATGATTAAAACTGCAAAGCCAATACACATTTTGTGGTCTTATTAGTGTACATTGCTAATTTTTAAAAATAAAGTTGAAGAAGATTATAGCATTTTGTTATTATATGTGGGTGGATAGAAACCTGGCTTTTGAGTCAGCACTCCTTGGGTTACATAAGAGAAGAAGAAGAGTTTGCTTTCTCTTCTGTGTATAATGACTTCCTACTTGTACACCAGTTCTAACTAAAATTTGTCTCATGGTATTCTATTGCAGGAGACCTGATGGGTACAGCCATGGAGAACCTTGATCGTCTTCTTGCCATGCCATATGGGTGTGGAGAGCAGAACATGGTCCTATTTGTCCCCAACATCTTCATTCTGGAATATCTTCAGAGCACTCATCTGACACCTGAGATAAAGAACAAAGCCATCAGGTTCCTGGAAAGTGGTGAGACATACTGGGGCCAGATCATCCCTCTCTTTTTTTACTTAATTTATTCATACTTTTATGAAAATTTACTATTTCTTATAGTGAAACGTCAAGTTTTGTTCAATATAAAAACTCCAGGTGAACAACACACATTACAAGAATTTTAGCATTCTTTAGTGAATAATTTTACCTTCATCTGAAATAAAAAGTGTGATTATGATCTTTTTCAGACAGACTGGAAATAAAAGGATCTGCCTTCAGTATTAGCACCTGAGAAGTGCAGTGCTCTAATAATAAAAGCAGTATAATTTACAAAGCTTTACTTATACATAGGCAATGTTCACTCATAGTAATAAAGTCTCAAAGCTGGTAAGGTAAAAAGAGACACCAGTTCATCCAGTTCAACCTAAATGTGTGTGTTTACGTCACTACAATTTTTCATATTCCTCTATATTGCATTTGCTAAGAGACACATCTAAAAGTTTTTTTTTAATTTATCTACACTCCCTATTGGGAGCACCAACTGTGGAAGAAAGTTCCACATCCTTACTACTCTAACAGTAAAGATCCCCTTATGCAGCTTAAGATTGAACCATATCTCGTCCAACTTTATTGTATAGATGTCTTCTTTAGAGACCTCTGGGTGAATAATTTCCTCCCAATACAAGTGTCACCATTAACGATTTGTATATCGCTATGACATCCCCTCTTAAGCATTTCTTCTCAAGGGATAATAAGTACAAAATGTAATGTTTGTAGTTGTTCCTTATAACTGAGGTCCTCCAGCCCCTTTATTAGCTTTGCTGCCTTTTCTGGGCTCTCTCAAGTTCAAGCACATTCTTCTGAAGGATATGTGACCAAAACTGGATGCTGTACTCAAGGTGTGTCCAAATCAGGGTTTTGTAAAGTGGTAGAATTATAGTTTTTTATAATACCCTTTTTAATTGTAGCACTACCCTCTTAGGAGTCTCTGAAGTTTTGGGTCACCCTATGGTCCTGCACAGCCAGGCAACATGCAATCCCACAATAACTTGCATCCAGGAGGCAGTAACCAGTCCTTGAGCATTGTTTTGAGGTTTTATTAGGGGATTTGAACTGGGATAGGGTTAGGGGTGTACAAGATGCTCAAGTTTTTTTTACAGCAAAATCCCCTTCTTGGAGAGCTAGCCAGTGTATCCGGTTGTACCACCCCAGACCCTAGATTTTCCTAATCCAGCTGATCTGGGTGAATCCCTGAGCAGGGGATACAGTGCCTGTCACTTCAAAGTAAGACAGTCCCAGGTAGTCGCTAATCTGATTTCCCACCAGAGTGCTCCTTCCCCTATCAGGCCCTGGGAGTGCAGGTTTACTCACTTAGTCCTTCTCCTGTATTGCTGGTGGGTTGGTGGCGGCTACTGGGCCTTCTAGGTGGTCCTCTCTCAGGGGGGCCGGTGAAGTCCCAAGCTTTCCTCCTTACAAGATTCCTGCCTGGATGTGAGCCTCTCTCCCATCTGGGCCCCCTCCCAGTTCTCCTGCTCTCCAGCTTCACTTCCTCATCTTCCACCTGAACTCTACTCCAACTCTCCTGCTGCTGAGCAGGCTCAGTTACTATTAAAGGCTGTCCTGGCCCTTGCCAAGCCTCCTGTTGGGAATTGGCCACGATACTCTAAGAGTACAGTCCAGCCACTCCTCTCCTTTCTCCAAAGTTCTAGAACAGGGGGAAATCCCAGAAAGCTGGTCTGCAGAGCCTCTCAGCTCTGATCTAAATTTGACCCACCTGGCTACCACACCCAGGCTGCTTCTCAGCCTTCTGACTAGCAATTAAAGCTAAAGCTCCCCCTAGCTACCTAGGAGGGTACTACATAATGCATGCTAGTAGTCTTCTGACCTTACTTGCTGCAGCTTGGCATTGCATGCTATCACTGAGTCTGTTATCTACTAGGATGCCTGGATCCTTTTCCATCTTTGATTACCCTAGAGCAGTGTTTCTCAAATAATGAGTCATGACCCAAAAGTGGGTAGTGACCAGGGGCGGGCTTTCAATTTCACTAGCGCTGTGATTACTGCACTATCCATTTTGGAAAGGAAGCCATTTGTTTACAGTTCATATAAGTGCATATACGTTTTAGAATACTGCGTAAGTTTTGTGGAATACATTATGTTTCAGAAATTAAATAATTTTTGGGTCGCAACTTAATGACCAAGGACAAATGTGGGTCCTGAGGTTCCACAGGTTTAGAACCACTGCCCTTGAGGTTCTCCCCCAGCCATGCATATTTTTGGCTCCTTCTACACATACATCACATGGTGCATTTACAATGAGGTAAATTTTAGACCTCATTCATATGGGCATACCGTTCAAACCACCTGTACATTCTGATCCATGAATCGGCCCTGCATGATGTACACTCCAGAATGCGCTTGGAGATCCATGCAGATCCCTGTAGCCAACCAACTGACATTGATTTATACAGGCTGCCTGCATGCAGACACACAGAACAACTGGATAAAAGTGGCCATGTGAATGAGGAAACATGTTACCTTTCATCCATTTAGAAGGTGCACTTTACTGCAAATTGCACCAAAATAACAATACGATAAGTTGTGAACCCATACAAGAAAACTCATTAAACCTCCACATTTTAAGAATTATGTGTGCCCTTTTTTTATTTAAAACAGTTTAATTATTGAGAAAATACCTGTTGATCCTGCCAGTGACTTTAACTTCCTGATGTACAGTGACAACCACATGCAGGCACATATAGATTCCGCAGCATGGATACTGCAATGCATATGCTCTGGTTCTGTAGAATAAATAAAAAGCTATAACTGTACATGGCTAACAGTGCCCCCCTACTACTACCTAATGTCCCTTCTACTCTTACCTCTTCACTTTTCAGCAATGCCTGCAGGGGTAGGGAGAATGTAAGTAAGCAGCCAGGACAAATAGTAAGTGGTTGGGCACAACACCACACCACTTTTTTTTCTGAAATCTGGTCATGTGCACTGCGGTTGCAATGCCGTAGAGGCTATATGTACCTGCAGGCCCTTTCCGTCCCAGTGCTCACACTCCTCTTCTTAAGTACGGCTCACTGTGTCCCCTTGCAACTCAAAGCTTGCATATCACATGGCTTACCCCCCCCCCCCCCCCCCCCCTTCCTAAATGTAACCTACAAAGTAAAGAAAAAAAGGTATTGCTGGTGGAGAGCCCTACTTTTATTTATTTATTTTTTTTAATTTAAATATTTATTTAGTTTTTTTTTTCATATTATTACAAAAAATTCCATAAGAAGAGACACAATACGTATACATAATCAGTACATTTCTCTTCTTTGCCCTTTCTAATTACCGTCTTTTCTTTCCCTCCCCTCCCTACCCGTTCCCCCCCCCCCTTCTCCCTCCCTCCCCTCTGCAAGATCTCCAATCTCTCTAGGCCCAATAACTTTAAATAACTTCCTAGTTTTACAATTTTCTATATTTTTCTTTCAATCCTGATTTTTCTCTTTCCCATTTTTCCCCATCGCGAATAGTATATATTTCCAACCTATCTTCCTGTATATAGTAAGATTTTTCCATTCTACTAATCTGGATTACCCTATTGATCCAATCCTCCTCCATCGGCAACCTCTGTCTTATCCGCCAAAACTTGAGTATCAACCCTTTTGCAGCACTTAAGTAGTACCATAACGCCGGTTTCTTTTATATTTATTTACTGTTGTCTCAACATTATGTAGGAGACATATGTTGGGTCTAACCCTATGTCCTTTCCAGTTATTATTCTATTAAATTCACTATTGTCTTCCAGAAAACCCTGAATTGTTTGGACATTGGCCACCATATGTTTAAACACCGTGCCTCCTCCCCACATCCTCTTCCAACACATTTTTGAAAGTTCTCCCCACTCATCTTGTGCTCGGTGCTCGGTGTGATATGCCATCGTGTCAAACATTTATAATTAATCTCAACGTCTCTCATACTAACACTCTCGTGTACCAGTCTGAATATCTTATCTGTTGATCCTCATCTATCACCACCTCCATATCTCTTTCCCAATTTGTTATAAAAATTAACTTTGTGTCTGTGTTCTAATTCTGTGAGTATTCTATAAATTTTTGTAACACCGTGTTTCCCATCTCTAACGTGTTTCTAATGCAGCTTTTCAAACATATTCCACTCCTTTTTAATCTTAAGGGTTTTGGGAGATTTCCTAATGAAACATTTTAATTGATGAAATTTTCCACTCATCCATTCTATTAAACATATCTCTCTCCCTCTCTTTTAATTCTTTAAATTTCTCAATTCCCCCCTCTACCAATACGTCTCTCAATTGGATATCTTCCTTTTTAAACCATCTCCCTGATATCTCATCCTTTCCTGGAGGGAAATACTCCATGTTTGCAAGATACAATAATATAGAGTTTAAATTCCATTTCATGTGTTTTATGTAAATTATCCCATATCCTTAAAACATTTAAAGTGTAAGTGCTTGTGTTTTTTCTTTAATTTTTCTATAATGTGCTGGGGCCCATATCATCTTACTCAAACGAATTCCACTCAGTTCGTTTTCTATTTTACCCAAATTTTTCCCTTATGGTTTAAATGTCCAATCATAGATTCTTGCTAAAATTACTGCTTTATAGTATCTCTTGACATCAGGTAGTCCCATTCCCCCTTTCTCTTTAGTCCTACTTAGTGTTTTCGTATGATCATTCTTGTTTTTTTATTCCTCCATATATATTTTGTTAACATTCTTCTCATTATCTTAAAAAACGCCTCTGGGAGTTTGATTGGAACCATTTGAAATCTATAGAGTATTTTAGGTATAATTACCATTTTAACTAGTTTATACGTCCTATCCATGATGGGTTTCCTCCTTCTAATCTTTTTAATTCTTCCTTATATCTCATTTATCAGAGAAATATAGTTTAATCTATACAGTTGTTTATTTATGAGGTGGCTATTTTTATTCCTAGTATATAATATCTTTTTTCTCTCCATATAAAGGGGAATCTTTTTTGTAGCTTTTCTTTTTCGCTCTTTGGTATATTGATGTTCAGAATCTCCTGTTTTTGTTTGGATTAATTTTTTTAGATTTGATAATTCACCATATTCCTTCAGGGTCTCCATTATACTTGGTAGTGTTATTCAGGGGTTGCCTACATAAAACAATAGGTCGTGGTCCGCAAGG